CTGCGGCGGCGGGTTCTGCCATATGACCCGGAGGACCTCAAGGACCTCGACACCCTGGAAGCTGCAGCTCCACCTCAACTGCCGGACGCCCTGGCCCGGCCTGAGGAGGCGCCTGGCCTATCTTCCTTCAATCCTCTTGCAGACAGCACGGCCGTGCCCCGAGAAGCAGCACTACCCACACCACAGCTTTCAACACCGACCAGCTCTCAGCCGAGTGCAATGGTGTCACCTTCTCCCCTGGTTCCCGCACCTCGACACTCAACGCTCAACATGTAAAGGGAGCGGTGGCGCAGGCAGTTAAACGCCTGCTCTGTAACATCATCCGAACAGCCGCTATGGCTGTTCGAGTGCCACCGTGGTCGAGGTGAGCTCTCGACCTTCGTCCCAGCTCCCGCCTACCCAGCAGTTACGAAAGCAACCTAATTGCAAGTAGATAAATGGGTACCCACCCTTAGAGGGGTGGGGGGCACCCTGTGTGGATAGTTGAAGACGGCGGCGGCGATGACGGCAGCAGCATTGACTCGGTGTGGACGGTGTGGCGGCGTGGCATTGCGGCAGCAGGCGGGTGCAATCGGAGGAGCGCAGTCGAGCGGTCGAGCGATCCCTGGTGGCCGAGGGAGAATACATCGAGTGCTGCTGTTAAGAAAAAAGGTGGCGTGTGACGACGCTGAGCACCGGCTCAAGTGGAGCCGGAAAGGACGTTGCTGGGCCGGAAGCAGGCGGAGCCGCGCGCCTTAGAATGAAGACCGCCACTACCGAAAAGAAGAGCCGGGAAAAGAAGAACGCCCGCCAGTCCAGAGACCTGAGCCGAGCCGAGCCAACGAGAGCAACAACTACAACAACAACAACAACTACCACCATAGGGGTGCAGGTAGGGCGTCCCATCCCAGTATATATACTGTGGCCCTAGTTAAGGAAAAATGGCGATTAGCACCAAAAATCTGTAAGCCGCTCAGAGACCCCTAGACAAGGGGTTCGAGCGGGATATCAAGTTGAATGTATAAATAAATAAATAAATAAATAAATAAAGCACCCTCCTATTTGCAGGACTTTGTGTGTGTGTGTCTTTTGGACCAAGGGTGGAGGGGTGTAATGTATCTATCTCCGACCACATGCGTGGCTAGGTCGCCATGTGGTCATGCGCAGCAACCGAGCTTTGCTCTCAGGAACAATGGGCCAAGCAGACCCTAGCCCACACCAATAGGAGGGCTAAGCTCCTGGCCGAGAGCCCATGGAATCTGTGAGCGTGTGTGCAGGAGATGTGTTATTTTGACTTGCATGTAGTCAAAGAGCTACAAGGGGAAGGTGGTTAGTTAACCCTGTTCCCACCTGGGATTTGTTCCATGGAAAATCATGGTTCAAGCAGCTTTTCTCTGCATGGGTAAAAAGATTCACACGCGCCAGAAAAAACGGGGGGACCGAGGCTATTTCCTCCAGAGGAATTTGATCTGCAGTTGTGCGATCCCACAGTCCTTGGAAGCTGCAGGCGCAGTCTGTCAGTCTGTGTTCAAAGGCAACTGCAGGTGAGTCTTTTTTTTTTTTTGGGCTGTTTGTTTCTGATGCCTTTAACCAAGGGATCGATGAATTGCATATCTGCACTGGGGGGCTCCCTATGGAGTTTGTGATGATGTGCATACTGAGAAGGGGAAAAAAACAATGGCACGGAGTCGGGATGGCCTGATCAGACCATCCCGACGCCATGAGAACACGCTGGAGCGATCAGACGGGGAAATCCGTCTGTGGCCCGTAGCAACCCATTTGCTACCAGATTTTCCCCAGTGTCTTTTAATTCCGCTTCTTTGGCAGAGCAGAACGGGTTGCTGATGGCTGTGGGGCGCTTCCCAGATGTTGTTGTCTGATTGCGCCCTTTAAACCCACCCGGCATTTGCGCCTGTGTTGGGGCTAATTGTGCATGTGATCGCAGCCTCAGCCTCCTGCAGCTTTCCTACCTAAAGCAGAACAAAGCAGCTGGAAAGATGGGGAAATCCTAGTGCCAGGAGAAGTGTGTGCGTGTGTGTGTGGGGGTAGTCAGTTGGCAAGCTGCAA